GGAATAGTTACAATATAAAAGATAATAACAAATTAGTAAGCATCTCATACTATACTTTATTTAAATCTCATTCTCGCAAAAACTTGCAATATTTAATAAACAATTCTTAACGTAGCAAAATACTTACACGATCTTTTACTTTTTATAATAAAATATTAAAATCACACTTAATACTGTAGCCGATGTACGGCAAGATGGCTTAATGAGTTTTCGACATCATATAGTAAACACGCAATAACCAACAAAAGTTGAGCTTTGGAATTAAATTTGATGGTACATTTGAATTTTTAAATTAATACGTTTTTTATAAATGTCAATGAAATTGCCTATATTAATCCCCTTGTAAAATACCAATGTGTGGTGACATACTTCATCCTATACTAGAGGTTCCAATATTTTTTGACTCACACCCTTAGTCATTTTCTAAAAAAACGGAGGCACCCTACTTAACCCTTCGGTTTTATTTAGCATAAGTGCCATAAGTAGTAAGTCGTAGGTATATAGTATATATACACATATTATAATTTATGAAACAAATTATTACATTGAATTTTAACTATATTTTATAATTTTTTCTTAAAAAAATATATTTCAAATAATTTCATGGAACCCTAAATAAAGTTCGAGTCACCTCTAGAGGCTAGGGTACTGGCGACACCCTAGTTTGGAACCTTTGTCCTAAACTGTTTGATCGTCAGCGGCGCATCGCTCAATATTTGCGATGATAATAAAGATAATATGTTTTCGCAGATTCCTATCAATACGCTTAGCGCCGTCGGGACGCTAATTAAGACYGCCAGACCTCTGGTGCGCAGGACCCGCGAACGCATTCAACAATATTACACTGGCTACCAGCAGCAATACAACAACGGTCAGCAGCAGTACGGCAATGGTCAGCAGCAGTACGGCAACGGTTTGCAGCAATACAGCAACGGCCAATTGTACTACACCAGCGGCCAGAAGCGCTACAGCATTGGCCGGCTGAACTCCAACACCGACCAGAAATCACGTCAGGACAACGGAGGAGAAGAGTTAGTTAACCGGCCAAAGCGAACGCAAATGACTTATCGGAACAGATACGATCAGCCCGACTACTGGATGAGACACCTATACAAATCCAAAGTTTACTGATTGTTTCAAGCGATTTGTAACGAAATACTATGAGTTCCGTTACGAATTAGTGCTTAGATATTCAGATATAGTGATCCTCAATATTATTGAATTGCTCGCTGGCTCATAAATGTGTACATTTTGTATATCTTCCATTGAAAAATTCAAATTCAACTTTTTAGATTTATTTAATCTACATAAATTTCATGGTATGGTGATGTACACACCTACAATGTTATACCGTTTATAAATATGTACATTAGACATTTATTTGATTTTTGCGTTTTTTTTATTAACGTTTAATACGAGTATTCGAATTTCTAAACGATCATTAAAAAAAAAACCTTTGCTTCAGACAGGCTAAAAATTGTTGGAATTTCTAATTTTTTACCGATTAATAACCATTGTATAAATACCAAGATAATTTTTAAATATCTGTGAATAATCATTGCATTCAAAAAATAATTTTTTCTTTAATTRATCATCATTTGTACTTTTTTAAATTACATAAGTACTGCATTAAACTCGTACACGCCAACACGTTACGTTGTCATCGTGACATGCCTTCGCTATTATTAAAATAAATTCTTTTTTTTGTACAGAACTATCCAAATATTATTCTTATCTTAAAATTATACCTACAGTTAGTATCACTGAGTACTAATATTCAAAAAAAAAACCTAATTTGCTTAAAAAAAAAAAAAATAAAATTTGATTTCTCATCCCTATAAAATGTATAAAATAATTACAATTCACAAATTTAATACACAAAGTTATATTCGATTAGATACATTTCTCATTTATAGTTGGTAGAAACCTACCTACTTAGTTATTCATAAGTTGAAAGCATGTAATAGGTATATTAAAATAAGTTGAATATATAAATTATAAGTACTACATATCTAATTAAGTCTAGTAAGTTTACTATGAAATAATTTCTATGATATAATTTAAAAAACTTATGTTATTACAAGGTATTCTAATAGAATACCAAAATTTGTTGATAAATCTGTGAATTATGTAGTTAGAAGAAATAGACGTGCGTGAACATAATATGTTCAAGGGCGTGCCCATTAATAAGGCTCAAATATTAACTTGTCTTAT